AGATGAAATCTTCTGGTCATTCAGTTAAGTATCACAAGCAGCTTCAGAAATTGTTAACCTTCCATGTATTTTAATAAACAGGCATCTGGGTACATGAGAGAAAACCTCTAAATGCTCCCACATGTAAAAAGTACTTCAGCACAACCTCATCTTATAAACACTACAGAACTTATGTGGATGGGCACTATAACTCTCACAGCAGCAGGAAGGCTTCAAATAAGACATTTTCAAAAAGTGAAAAACTACTAAATCCACAGCAAACCAAATTCCTCAGTTCCAAGAGCCAAAGAACAACTTCCCCCCACCTTTACATCAAGAGTCATCATGAGAACAAAGCTAAAACAAGATCAAAAGAGATCAAAGAATAAGGGAGCACCAGTCCACAAAATACTGTCTTATTGCATTCTGATTGTATTGTTACATTAGAATGCTTTTTAGTCAGCTCTCAAGCAGCACTTCCAATATAGGGGTCAGCAGAAAAGTATGAAAAGGAACTTTTGTCACTCATACTGATTATTTCTAAGGCAATTAGAATAACCTCCCCATTACAGAAGTGTTTTATATACTTCACTGCAGTACAGAGATCTGGGGTGGTAGATTATAGGCAAGGCAGCAGTTCAGTTTCTCACTAATGCAACATGATCTACCTGGTCAATCAAAAATACTTCATTTTGTATATAAATAGGCATAATTTTAATAATGTTGGATGCCTTCACAAGACACTGGTATCCTTGCTCTTTGTACCCCAAATCTTCATTAAAATCTCAGTGATGGACTATAAGAACAACCTTCTATGACCCAAACTAGTCTAAAACACACATGAGAGCACACAGAGATACATTTTGCAGCTCTACTGATCATACAGAGCTTCTGCAAGTACTGGTCACAAAACAACAAGCCCAACTAAAAGACCAAGCAGCAATCATTTATTACATTGCTGTTTCAACTTTGAGTTTAGCCATCATTACCATCAGCAGAAGTGTAAAATGCCCTGACAGTTATCCTGAAACTGACTTTTAGCAGATTTTGGACAAGGTTTCCAAATTAGAGGAATCTTGCATACCATTAACTAGCTTCATCTCTCTAAAGCACTTCCCACTACATAACACTGAAGATCTGAACTGATGGAGGATGTCAGGAAAAAGAGATTCATCTTAAAAACTGCAAGTTACCATTCTGAAATAATCCTGTATCAAACTGGACAGAGTAGAAATAAAAAGGTTCTTTAACAATACGGGGAATCACAGTAAAAGCAGCACTCAAAAGACATTATTTAAAAGAGATTTTAAAAAATTAAATTCTACCCATTACAATTTACTATAGTGGATTGGAAACAGGATATGATAGGTAAGAAAAGCAAAGATGAACACAAAAATCCAGTCTTTCTAATACAGGAAGAACTGAACATACAAGGATGTTTGAGTGCCATACACGATGTACAGTATGACCACTGAGTTCAGATAAAATTTGAGGACAAAGATCAAATAGGGTTTACAAAATGATCAGTCATTTCTACAGGTAACAGCTTCCATTAGAACATCACATTTGAAAAACAAAGCAGGATAATTCTGAAACATAGAAACTGATTTTGGAAGATGTTGCCCTCAAACACTACACCTCCGCACTTTACTTAATCAGTTTCAACTGATTTTGTTTTTCTGTTAATTTTTTTCTTGCATGTTTTAACACTCAAGCATTTAAATAACTGTTTTAAACCCACTGATTATAGAAAATTTCCAATGGGCTGAACACGCCATGCAGTGACTGGCCCCTCCTGGCCAACTGCCCCCAGTTTATATTGTAGATGTGACAGTCTGTGGTGCGGAATATCCCTTTGGCCAGTTCAGATCAGCTGTCCTGGCTGTGCTCCCTCCAAGCCTCTTGTGCAGCTCCTCACTGGCAGAGCACGGGAAACTGGAAAGTCCTTGACTTAGGTAAGCGCTGCTCAGCAACAACTAAACCTTCAGCATGCTATCCACATTATTCTCATACTAAATCCAAAGAACAGTACTGTACCAGCTGCTAGGAAGAAAATTAACTCCCCCAGCTGAAACGCAGGCAACACGTAAACAACTCTACTAGTACAACTGAGGGAACTGAGAAGAAGCAGGAAAAAAACAGCTGAGGAGTGCAAGATTTTAAGACACTTGTACCATTAAGGATTTATCAAGAACCTCACAGGTATCCTTATAAAGCCAGAAAGTATCTACCATAGTCTCAAGGACAGAGGAAAAAAAGGGGACTTCAGGTTCCCTTTAGTTTCAGGAGAACCTCTGGCATGATCTGGTCTCTTTGCTTGAACACTGGAAACTAAAACACCACTGTCAGAGAATATGAAAGCAAATTGCTAAAACTTAACAGAACTTCAGATATCAAGGTATGCAATAAATGTTGCGTACACCATCAGCAATATTCAGCTCCTTCCTATCCATTTTCCTTCCTGCCCATTTCTAGTCTCACAATTATCACTGTTTTTACATAAAACATGCAAGGATTTCAGATCTCCTAGCATCACTACAGTTGGCATCCTTCTTGGGAGTTAAGCATGACAACTGGATAGGTACCAAATGCAAGACTACATCAAACATGGCATCTACAGTCCCTTCTTCTTATAGTTCAGGTATATTGGTAAGCCAACATATGAAAGAGCATTCTAAAAATCTGCAATAGCTTTTGTTCAAAGATTTAAAGGCACATTGACAAGAATTATTCTTCAAAGAGCCTGGGAAATGAAACAAAGCAATAACTAGATGACTCACTGGAAGCTCATCTAACACTCCCATCTGAACTAGGATTCCCTGTCCTCACTGCATGTACAATAAAGTTTCTGCACCAGGTTTCCAGACTAGTGTCTGGAAAAGACACTGATCTGATAACAGAAATCAAAAGCCATGTAAACTGTTAAGAAAAAACAAACAAACAAAGAGAAAATTTACAGTTAAACTCACAGCTCAAGATTTTCTGTAAGAGCAGATTCTCATCAATATTACTAAGAACACAGTTATTTCTTCTTAAGTGCAATCTCACAATTTACCTACAGATCTTTTGATTGATTAATGTGAACTACATATATTCCATGTGAAATATCAATAGGCTGTTTGGATTCATCTTACTTTTTTATCTCTAAAAGATAGCCAGCCACAACTATCTCGCTCATCACTGTGCACCCAAGACATCACAATATACCACCCTTTTCTTGCATGTGGTCTGACCTATCAAGACAAAAGAACATCAGGGTGGCAGGAGGGGCAGGGCTAGCGCCCCACCTCCTCCTTTGGCTGCATGCAGGACCCCAAGACACCACAACACCAATGCAGCCTGCAAAACAGGGTGGAGGAAGACACTGTCCCAGCCTAGAATTCATCTCCTACAAGCCTCGAGGTTAACTGTCATCAGTGACAGCTGTAAACCTGACATCCTGTATACAGCAACTTGAAAGGCTGCTTCCAAAATGAAGGCTTGATATTTTGTTGTTAATTCATCAAGCTCTGGCAGTCCCACTGAATTAAATTCAAAGAGCTGGCTGCAAAGACAGAACATTCTACTCTAATTTAATCAGGAGCAACATACCTTCACAACACAAAGTTTTGAGCTTCTCAGACAAGTTTGAAAACCAAGAGGGGGAAAAAAATTAAAAACCACTATGACAAGTGCATGCAAGTCTCCCAGGAGAGCTTACAAAAATAATTCTATTCTTTCATGTATGACTCCTTGCAAATCAGTCCATGCCAGCTATAAGCATTACAGCACCACTGTATCTATGACTCAGCAAGGGAATCTGGACATATGAAGAAAATCCACTTACTAAAGTAAGAGGCAAGGATTTAAAACTGCAACAATTACAGCAATGTCACAGTAAATGAACCAAGATGACTTGTGTCTGTGCTCCTTCTATGCTTAAGCATACAAACCAGATTAGAATGTCAAACCCATTTATACATTGGCTAAAGTTTGAAAGCAAGTAAAACAATGCTTAGTGCAGCTGAGCTGAAATACAAAGGGTTCAATAGCTGTTTTCATCTCCGATGAACAAAAACAAACACTGGCTGCACATTTGACACAAACCACTGAATGTTATTGCCAAGATTACCTGTATGCAGCCCAACTATGCAAGTCTACCTTCAGATCTGAATTAAAAAAAAAAAGTGAGCAATCTGCAGCTTCGTGTTATAACTTAAGATAGAAGCTTGATTAACTAAGACATTCATCACGTTTACATATAAGCACGAACAGAGAGTAATGTTTGCAGAACATTATTTGCTGCAGCAAAGTAGCAAGTTCTTAAATGGCTCAATTATGCTTTGGTCCATTGACTAGGACTAGTTAGAAGTAAATTATTCCAAGAAGGGAGAAAACATCATAAGCCATACCTTCTCAATACATTATCTTCATCTAGATATTCTACAAAATGAGCACTCAGACCTTGCCTTGTAAACACCATGGTCCACAGAACCTGTATGTTACTACAAGACTCCTCTTCCACATCCTCGTAAATACTTTCTATAGATTTAATTTTTTTAAGATGACAGCAGGCTCTTAGTCAACAAGGGGAAGAGGAAGAAATGTTTTCATTGATTTCTTAAGCAAAAGAGAAGGATCTAAGAAGGAATTCGCCTCCCTGCTTCTCTCTAAGAGGGATACTAATACAGAAGTAAGATGAAACATTTGAAACAATAAAGAACCTTAGAAGACTCACCCTACTCTCTAACATCTTTCAGACAAGGAAGGTAAAGCTTTAACTCCTCAAGTTTCTCAGTTCTCAAAAATAGTTATGTGCATTACAAATTTTGTATCTGAGTTTCTAGTTTTATTTTCTCCATTTCTAAATGGAGCGTGGAGCATGTGGTAAAACCTGAGGTGATCACATCCCAGCGGTATATCTGTCAAACACTATGTATTATGTTACACTGCTTTGGAGCAAAGCCTCGAGCACTGCTACATTGCCTAAACTAAATTCTCACACAAATGAAGTACCATTGTATCAACATGTATCTGATTACCTCACTATCGTATTTTATGTTAGCACTCGACATGTGTGTCATCTTTCACCCAACGGCCTCAAATGGGATGGCGGGGGAGAGCAAGTAGAAACACGAACCGACAGGAAAGCACTTATCCCACTGGCAGCGGGAATATTCCAGAGGCGCGAGCGAGCACATCACGTACAAAGCTCTCCCTCCGAGTTCCTCCAGAAGCACCGCGGTAACACCTGTGCGGAGAGGAGCAGGACAAAGCCCCAGGTATCCCAAGGCAGCAGCAGTCGCAAGGCACGGGAGCTGTCACGGGCCGGGCTGAGCGGCCCCGGCGGCAGCCCCGCGGCCACAGCGGGCAAGCGCGGCCGCTCCCGCACCGCCCGGACACAGCCAGAGCCCCGCAGCTGCGGGAACACAAGCCCGCACCGGCTCCTGCGGGAGACGGTTCCAAGCACCGCTCGCGGGCTCCGCAGGGAGCGGCGCCGGGCCGGAGGGGCGAGGCAGGACCCGACAGCGCGAACGGGCACAGCCGAGGCCGCTGCCGGCGCTTCGGACCGCGGACCCTGCGGGCCGGGAGCGGCACGGGGAGCGGGGATGCTCCCCCGGCGAGCGGCCCCGCGGAGCTGCGGGCTGGGAGCGGCGCGGTGGGACGAGCTGCTCGCAGCCGGCCCGGCGGGGCGCGCTCCGAGCCCCGCCGCGGGGGCGTCGACGGTCTCGCCCCTTCCCCTCCGCCGCCGTGACACCGAGTCCGCACCCCCTTCCCTGCCCAGCTCCCCGCGGTGTCTCACCCCCGGCAGCCGCTCGCCGCTGCCATCCTCCCGCTCAGCGACACCCGCTCCCTCCCGGCCCCGCTCCGGCCGCCGCCATTTTGATCCCGAGCCCCGGGCTCGGCCGGGCAGCGGGAGCGCACACGGCGCCTGCGCGGCTGCGGCGCGCGGGACACGTGGTCCGCGGGGAGGGGGCGGGGCCGGGGGCGGAGGGGCCCGGCGGGCCCGATCCTGCCGCGGTACCGCGGTGCCACCACGGTGACCCCCCGCTGCCCCTCCGGTGTTCCCCCGGCACGGCCCGTCTGGGATCGTGAGAGAGAGCTGATCTCAGTGTGTGAGCCCTTGCCGCGACACCCCTTCCCACACCGCGTGCGTTGCTTGCCCTGTGTGACACATCCCGCAAGCTCGTTACCATGCCCAGATGCAGAGGTGTCTGCAATGTAAGTTGTGTGTCAGCACATGTTCTTTGTCCTTGAGACTTAAGCTGCTTACAGTAAGCATATGTCTGTCTGCTTGCTTTGCCACGCTGCTGTGAGCTCATTACAGGCAGGACACAGATTTCAGTTTTATTGTTCATACTTACCTGGAAATAAACTCCCACCACCTTCCCCACTTCTGATAACCTCTCTCAGCATCTGAAACACACCTAGATGAAGGTATGTGCCAGCAGTAAAAATGTCTCTGGCTGTTCCCACCGTTGCTGGTACCACTACTGCTACATTTTTTCAAAGAAAGGTGTGTGTGGATACTGTCAGGATTAGCCACCATATCTGTAAGATCACTGTTTTCTGAATCAGAGAGTGACCAAAAATCCAAAGTAGTCAACATTCTATTAGAACAATAAAACCACTTAGGTAAACCGAACTACTTGAGCCCTCTAAAAGAACTAAGCACCCCATGTCTATATATGAGAAGGTCTGAGAAAAGAGTTTCATGCAGAGGCCAAAAATCTGATGAAGTCACATGGTAGAAAATATTCAGCAAACTGAAAGCCACATCTGTGTTCATTCTTGGTTGGTAAAGGCAAGCTATGACTGATTACATCTCCTCCTGATTCTGCTGACAGTCCATTTCTGGAGGGAAGCCTTCCTCCCACTTGGCATCGTGCTGTCCTCCATCTCTGTAATTAACTCGCCTGAATGCAGCAGACCTCCCTAACTACCACTTGGCATAGCATCCCATAGTGCTGAGCAGCTTACCAAGAAGCTAGGGAATAAACAACCTCTAATATATTTCCCCATGCTGTAGACTCTTTTCCTACTGATTGCAGCCAAAAAAATGGAGGAGAAACACAGTTGGGCTCATGGACAGTATCATGTACCCCTTGGGGTTTTAACTATCTTAGTTATTTATATGGTCTCCAGTATTGTAGTATACAAGAGAATCACAACCATTGACTTCCATATCTTCATAGTACCAGAGTAAGATCAAGGAATTTTTATAATTGTAGTTTCACACTGTCGGGGTTATGCTTGTATCTGTTCAAGGGGGACTATGTCCTGTAAATGTGATGTCTTTGCAAGCTTTTGTTGCTGTTGTCAAGAGAGATCATAAAACTGACTGGCAGACAGAGCTCAGCCTCTGAGCTATTGCTTACTACAGCCTTTCCATCTTCTATTTATGTCTCTCTTCTTGCTCCTGCCCTAACCAGCTTTCCATTCCTTGCTCTTAGGAACCATTATATGGAATACTACATACACAGTGTTCAGCTTAGTTTTATTTTACTCTAGTTTTATGTAGAATTCGGGTAAATACGTTTATATTGCCTGCCTGAGCATATAAGGCTTTAGGTCTATGACCTCTGTGCTAAAATATTTTTTACTCATGGATCTGTATCTCATTTGGGTCCTTATAGACACTGCAACTACAGGAAAGGCTTCATTTGTCTGAGCCACCAAAGTCAAGCAACCAGTAGACACAAACCTATAGAAAACTAAACTGCAGTAGTTTTAAAGCATGGAATTGTTAATTTAAATGTATCTGTTAGGTGAAGTGGTTGCAGATGAGGTTCTTAAATATGAACAGTGCGTGACAGCCCCAGCCTCTCTATAATATTCATGATTTATAATATCATTATTACAATTTTAGCAATGGCTCGCTGAGAGCAGCATAGGAATAAGAACCAGTTAAAGTTAAATAAGTAAGATTCAGGTCATAGAGCTTTTAGACTAAGGGGGAGTAGTACACCAGCTTGGTTTTCAGGTGGCAGGAACCAGTTATGAATTTGTTCCCAAAGTTCTGTAAGTAGGTAAAAATACCCATTCAATTCTCCAACAAACCTGGCTCATAATCAGGTAGTGAAAATGACAAGAAAAGGAAAAGAAGTCTTGCAGGCTGAATGTTTGGTTCGTTAGTGGTCTTTTTTAATATTCTAATGCGATTAACTGGAATGTAGTCAAAATGGATGGTTAGATTGAAGTGCCAAGATCTTGCTGTGCAATAGTCATCCTTTTAGTAGCTAAAATAAACCTTCTTTCTTATGACTCAGAGGCAAACAGTGTGTTGGGTAACAACTTGGGGAGACATCTGGCAGGTTGGAAGCGAGGAAGGCTACCACGAGCTTTCTTTCGCTTTAGATTTTTTAAAGCATAGAGGTCACCCCTTGAGTGCAGCACATTGTCACTGTCTTCGAGGATTGTGTGGTCTCATGGGCTAGACAGCTTGGAAGCACACCAGAAGTAAGCTGGCTAGCTCCTTCTGCCACCTGGGACCTTGGTGCAGAAGACAGGTTATAAAACACTGAGTTACAAACCTCGCTGCAGAGGAGTGGGAATTGGAAGCTAATTGCATTTACATGCAGGTAATATGTTTTCTGAGATGAGAGGATAGGAAATTCAGACTGTCTGACAAACACCCCCAGAGCACGTGCACACACATCTCTTCCCTGATCGCTTAATTATAATCCTCAACCAGGCTCTCAGAAATAAATTGATGTTCCAATTTTATCAGGATTGAGATATGTTTGGTCTGATCAATTTAAAATAATCTCTTGATGTCCTAATGAACAAAATCTTATATATGCCCTAAATATTGTAAAATATCCTCTCCTCTTTAGATCAAACAATGTGCAGAATGAGATACTGTCTGAGCCACACAACACTGTGCAGTAGCTCTGCTCATAAGCAATGGTGTAATACTTATTCATGTTTTTGCAGGAGCTTCCGTAAAATACTTACCAATGGTAATCACTGTACGTACACGTTGCATTTTATCTCCAAATTCGAGTGTTAGTAGGAAAATTGATTATGTGCCACCACTTATTAAGAATCAAACCAACTCAAATGTCTATTGCAGTTCATTTACCCTTCATTTGCACTAGGAAGCTCAAGCTTTGAAATGCCCTTTTGATGATATATATCAGAGTTTATTGAAAAGAAAATACACTTGGAAAAAAACCCTCACCATTTCACTTCCATTGCTTCATTTTGTGTCCATGATTCATTTCCTAGACTTTTGGATGTTTCTTTTGATTTTCAGTCCAAATGTGTACTGTTTGTTATTATTAATTATGTATTTGTATTGCTGTATTGTGTGCAGGGTCTAATCAAATCCAGGGTCTGCTGTGATGGATGGTTTGCCAAACTCAGATTACAATACGTGGTCTAGAGAATTTACCAATTAACTGGAAGGTGTGATCATGCAAGGTACCTCCTGCAAACCAGTGAGAAAACCAGATGTGTGTAATTTTTGGTGAGAGTTGGGGTCACATCACATGTTGCAGAAGGTGCCTACTACAGAAATAATGTCAGCTGCATTAATTGGAGAATGTGATTCTGTTTTGCTGTAACAACACTTTTTTATTCATGACCTTTTGAAGTGCAACTTTCTGATGTTATGGATCAAATCCTTAAAGTCTAATTTACCCTGTTAATTTTTTTTTTTTTGAGTGTGTGTGTTTCAGTTCAATTTCATGGAACTAAAAGCCGTAAATCATGGCTAAAGAAGAGCTTAGAATACTTTAGAGTACAATTTCTTTATTGGTAACTGATCCACAATAACTGAATCCTCAAGGGCTGAAAAATAGATTTAAGACTGATGCTTCTTATGCTAAACAGGATTCATTTTTGTCAATGATATTGATGAGATTCTGCAAATATATAGACCTGGACTATTACTAGCTCTCTAATGTTACTTGGGTTTTGTTGTCTTTCTTATTATCTGAGCTTTTATCAGTTTCTAAACCTACTTTAAAATTTTGTAGAAGAAGGTTATTTGCCATACTCATAAAAACATTGCTCATTATACATCAGCTGAGAGACCCTCAAAGAATAGACTGAAGTTGATATGCAAGCCACAATAACTGGCTTTCTATAATCAGTGATAGCAGAGTGAGAGATGTGCTTCCTTGTGTGAAATGGGTGCTGTGGAAGCACAGCAATGGCAGCAATGCTCTTTCTGCTCTGGTTTTCCTTGTTC